TTTTTTCTTATATCTTTGACGCATTTCTATAGGACGCATTTCTATAGGATTTCTATAGGATTGTGAAGATTGTGCATCACAATAAATACCGCTTCTCAGTTATTAAAGATACTGCAAATACATATGAATTATTCCAAACAGGTACAGAATGTTTTTACATCACATATGAATCATCATATTTATCATATTTTTATTCTTATTATTTTATCTTTTATTATTTGATTTAATCATCTATTATCTGCTGCAAGCCCATTAAAAATAATGGTATACAGCAAATGGCGACAGCAATTATCTTGAATTTTTATATATATAAATTCAAAAATAAAAAATTACTACGTGCCCAAGATCCTGTCTTACCAATCTCTATTCTTCTGTTATTTAATTATTTATTGTTAGGTCTATTATACTTCTTAATTTACGCTTTATATATCTCACTGTTTATTATGATATAATTCAGCATAGATTTTATTCGATTATTACACATTCACATTACATTTTTACCAGTCTTATTTCAGTATTACGTTTATTATGTATTTCGTCATTCACTTTTATCTTTATTACTTATTAATTATCGTTTATAACGGAGAAAGAATGACGTATGCTTAGACATACGTGAACGAGATGGCTTGTCGAGAGTATTTTCGAGGAACGGTAGGACAATACGACAAACAGAAAAGACTCGCATTATCAACATTATCTGCGTGATCTCGCAACGAGACTTACAGAAGTCACGTCACACGTTATAACATAGAAATTAGTCACGAGTCAACGCCGCTCTCTCGCTCTGTCATCGTCGACGATGACAGCGGAATTTAGATTTCAGGCGACCGAACACGAAAGTGAGAATACATTTGATACGCTGAATTGACAAGCCCGAGGATCCCGTGTTACGTGCGAGTCGTGGTCCGATAACACCGTAACAGGAACCCCACTGTCTATCTATTAAGCGCGGACAGCGCGGCATTAGGTACCGAGAAATGGTATCACACTTTGGATCAAATGACCGCCGCATCGGTCCGTCGCGATTTTAACTTGCGCTCCGTTATCCGCGACAGGAAGAAAAAGAAAAAGAAAAAAATCGCGTCGGCCGTCGGAAATTCGTCATTACTCGATATTCCGGATACGCCACGGCGAATACCACGAATCAGTGAATCGGCGCGAGTCATTTGATTGAAGCCGTCGCGCATCAATTTACGCGGGGAGTGGCGTACAAATTGTAGTTTGAAACACACTGCCAAATCATCGTGTCTCACAAATTCGTCGTTGAATGAGAAGAAGGAAGGAAGCATGGATTGGTCATCTCAATTGTAATTACGTGACTGAAAATAATCTCCATTTTTTTGGAAATAGTGGAAATAATACTTAATACTTAACTTCTGTACTCTGGAATTAAAAGATTTCCAGTATGAGAAAGGAAAATACAGAGTGATATCGGGCAAATAGCCTTTTGTAAGCTGAACAAACAACCAAATGGAACCATCTATCTATCAACACAGCGGAATGTCAAGAGATTTCTAATCGCGAGATATCGCGGAGAAGAGCCGCGACAAGTGGTTAATTAAATGGCACTTTTCTCACGCAACGTTTTTCATACGATATATAAGCGACCTTTTTAATGAATCGCTTGAATTCTCTTTATAACAATTAAGAGCAATTTCAATATGAGTATCTGCTACATTTCGCGAACTCCGAGTGCGAATGCACCGGGTGGGACGCGAGAGAAGGGCGGCGGAACATGCGCATGGAGATACGGAACATCATGAGAGTCTGGTGAATAACGTGGGGGCCTGCGGAGGCCAGAGGTGGGTAAGAGACATCGGAGAATAACGCGAAACTCACTCAGTCGAGTGTGGTTGGCGGTAACGATTATACGTTAACATTCGCTCGGTCGATCGGTCCCGAAACAGCAATAGCGGGGCCTCTTACCCGCATTCCGCATACGATACGCGAGTTGCGTGCGGAACTGTGTCGCGGAGGAAAGGTGCTTTGTCGACGAATTGTCGTCCTCTTTTAATAAATTTCGCAACGACATCCTGCGATCAAAGAAACTGCTAAACGCAGAATAAAACGCAATTAAAATGGAAATTGCGTGTAAAGAGCGTTAAATGTGATTGTTTGAATACGTATATGTTTTAAGGACTCCGACTCCGAAAAGTGTCTGACAATAGTGCAAAACTTTTAAGTGTCTCTTTTTAGTTATCTCATAAAGCTGAGTCGCTTCAATGATTAGATAAATGTTAAAAAAACATCTGAATCACGGATCTTTTCTCAAGGATTTTGTATCTTTTAGGATTCTTATTTTTTTTTTTAAAGCATTTTTTTCTGATTCGCTTAATTTTTATTTAAATACTTATTTTAATGATTTTTAATTTTAATAATTTTATTTAAATACTATTTCTCTCATTAAAACATTAATATAAATTTGCTTTCATCTTTGAGATTGATCTCAATCTTTAAGTCTCGATTTGTAATTTTAATTTCTGCAAAATTTATTTTCATTCTGAAACTGATCTCGACTTGTAACTTTAATTCCTGCAACTAGATCAATATGGAATGTTGATTAATATTTTTTATTCGTGATTATCGACTGATATTACAAGTCTCGCAGTTTCCTGAAATTAAAACTTAGAAGTGAACGGAAGCTGCGAAGGACGAAAAGAGATGGAAAATACAAGGAAAAAAAAGCTTCACGTTCGCGAAATATTCCATAATATCGTTGCGGGTAACAGAAGCGGTTATTTAACCGTCTGTCGAAGAGAGAAAAACAGCATCACCCGGTAGTTTTCTAGTCGCTCTAAATCATGCATTAACGCGTCATTAAGAGCCATCGCCGTCTTCCTCCTCTGTAGTGTCGTGACCCCCTGCGACCATGATCGTATACATCTTCCCGCTCGGTTGATGACGCGAAAAGTTCGGTTTTTTATCTTACGAATTGAATACGTATTGAAGATACGACAGAATTATAATTGTATAACATACCAGTATATGTACACGACAGTAAATGATATTAAACATTAATAATAATAATAACAAAATAATATATTCAAAATATATTCTTTGCGTTAATAATAGTAGCAATAACGAAAACAATTTATAATACAATCACGCTGTAACGATCCCCGATTTTCGTCCTCGCATCTCTAGATACAAGACTCATCGAGAAGGTAAACAAAGAAGAAAGCCGAGAACCTGCTGAACGGACAGTAAGCAAACGGGTGAGTCATCGGCGAAGGTTCGACTCGGAGAATATGAGACACTTTACGTGCCTGTTGACGCTGGGAGCGTTCGCTGTGGCAGCCTTCGCCACGATCAAGAATGACGCGTCGTCGGTCGACATGGTCAGAGAGGCCTTACTACGTCTGGAGAAGGACTTGAGAAGAGATCTGGCCGATCAACAAAGATGGGCGAACGTCGAGGAGCGAGAAAAATATTTGCATCTGATCAAGGCGTACGAAAGATTCGGCAATCAGGTGGACGAACGATTTCCCCTGGATCGGGAGGATCATTTGGACTCCTTGGACTCCTTATGGCTTTGGGCGAGAGCTCAGCACGAGATCAAAGGCATCAACGGCCTGTACGGGCTATTCCGGCAGATGCAACGTGAGATCCTCGAGCTGAACGCGCCGATCGATATTAAACAGCTGGCAAATTTCGCTGAGACGATCTTGCGGGATCCGAACGCCTCGATCCCAAGAGCGCTCGACCGTATCGCGACTCTGATCATCAATGAAAAATTATTCATCGCGGCTTTTCAGGTACAGATGGCTGTAACTCGAAAAGATTGCAATCGCGGAGATAATTCTTCCTCCCCGAGACCATGGTCTTTTCGGGGAATAATAATGAAAACGGGATAAATAGTTGTTTGCAGCAAGTAGATATTAATAGTATAGCGATTAATATCTATAATATTATATAAAGATAAATAAGGAGATTAATAAATTTCAAAATTTTTAAAGACACTTAAGAGCATAGAAAGTTGAATGAAATTTATTGATTTATGATATTTACCGGAGATTAAATATCGTAGAAAGTAATATTTAATCTCGCAAATCAGCAT